TGATTGTCTTTGCATATTTCTGACAGAGTCTTACTTAGCACCCTGAAACCTAATTGTGATATACAATTATCTTTTACTGGTGTGAAAGTTTCCTTATAGGTCAGAACCATGACTTTCACTGTGCGTGTGTTACTAGAGATCAAACCCAGGGACATGCTTATGCTCAGCATGGGCTCCAGCACCACGCTGCATCCCTAGCCCTGACCTCCATCGCTGTAACCCCACCACCTTGTACAGTGCTGGAAGGTGGCCAGTTCCTCACTAATTCCTCCCTGGAATGTGTGGAAAAGAAATTACTTACTCAAGGTCAGTCCTACTGCTTACCAGGAAAGCAGGGATTAGAACCCAGGTCCTAGGACAGTCAGATGTCCTCAATCTGCTTCGTTATGTACTCAAAGAACCCCAAAGACAGGACTCAATTTATCTTTACAGCTTGTTTTCATTCACCATCCTGTGGATGCACTATGTGTGGAAGTCTGCCCAGCATTCTGGTCCTCAGCCTATCCAGGACCTGTGTCCCAGCTCATTTTTTACTTCTCCACCTGAATGCTCCCTCACATTCTAACGCTGAGTCACCCCACCCCCTCTCCCCAGCCGTCACACACACTCTGGAACTACCCTACACACTGACTTCTATCCTTATTACTGCACTGAAGTGCTCTCTCGAAGTTCACCAAAGCCTTACATTTTAGTTTTCAAAATGGTAAAATACTCATATAAAACTACAGGCTTTTTCTTAGACTTTTGGAGAAGAGGTATTTTTTGCTGTTTTTTTTTTTTTAACCGTTAACTGCTACTGTCATTGCTATATTTTGCCACCAGAGGACTGCTGGTCTGGGAACCTAAGGCAGTAAAAGTGAAGCTCAGACACAGCAAGAGACTTCATCTCTTTGAGCCTGGACTCAATGCACATCAAAGCCATTTTCTCTTGGATTCTTCAGCTCCATCTGCCATTAAACTCTTTCTGCTTAAGCTTGTCTGACTAAAGAAACCAAGCAGCAAACAAAGAGCACTAAACCCTTCCCCAGGATTCCACTCTGCCCGCCTACTCCACAGGCTGAGTTCTGTGCCCGTCCTTAGGCTGGTCCTCCTTCATCTGCTTGGAGTCCTTTCTTTCCTTTCTTTGCCAAGATCCACCTCAAACAAAGGCTCAGTTCAAGTGCTTCTGTCAAAAAATTACCCAAAATAGGGGATAAAGCAAACAGAGGGCCAGATTGTACTGGGATTTAAAACCATGCTATGGCTTTTTGAACTTCAATGTAAGGAAGGAAAAAATGTCACTGAAGAATTTTAAAGTATAAATTATGACATTTTCTACTTTAAATTATTACTGTGGTTGCAGTGTAGAAAATACATTAAAAGACAAGAGAGACAATGAATTGTAGACTACTAAAACAATTATTCCAAAAAGAATCAGTGATACCAGCTAACAACACAACGGAGAGAGAAGAATGCATCTCTGTGAATGTTTTCATTCCAAATAAATCTCCCCCTACAGTAAACTCCCTGAGGGCAGAGAAATGATCTGTTGACTATCCTTTAGCCACAGAAATTAGCAAAGTGACCGACACACTTCTCAGGGCTTCAAATATTTGTGGAATAAATGGATACGTACTTAACAGTTTAATCTGTAAAATGAGCAACTAGGTAAATGATAGTACAGTTTATGAAAACAGAAAACACCAAAAAAAAAAGTCAGTTTGGGTTTTTTGTTTGTTTTTGAGCAACAGATACAGAAGATGAACTTTGCTTTGAACAGGCTGAGCTTGAGGGAAGTCAGTCCAGAGAGACTCGATCAGGAGAGATCTAGGCTGAACACAATGGCTTGCGAACTCAGGGCGGGGCAAATGATTGCATGAGAAGAGATGCGGTTGCCTAGAAATATGTAAAGTGAAAAGTAAGTAGAGAACCCAGATCTAAGGGGCATTTAAGAGTTGAACTGAAAAACTCCCAATAGCTCTAAAGAAAACCAAACATGGAAAGGTCATGTAACTAAGCCCCTTGAGAAGAAGTATGGTCAGATGTATCAGATGCTGTGGAAAAGGTGTGAAAATTTTAAAAATTTAATACCCTTTGTATGAAAACAGTTTTGGGCCAGGCTTGGAGCACACCTGTAATGCCAGTACTCTGGAGGCTGAGGCAGGAGGATTGTTGTGAGTTCAAGACCAGCGTGGGCTAGACAGTGCGTTCCAGGTCAGTCTCAACTACATAGGGAGACTCTGTCTAAAAAAAAAAAACAGTTTTGATACAGTTGACAGGGGGTGGAGTTAGAGATTAGTTTGGGGCTCAAGGGTAAGCAGAAAATTAACAATGAAAAAAAAAATGAAGTCAGCAAGTAGCAGATACATTGTTTAAGAGTACGGCTACAAGGTAACCAAGATACATAGTCATAGGAGCCAAGACAGTGAAAGGTGTATTTTGTTTTTACAGAATTTACTTTTAAACCTGTTTAAATGTTGACTGGAAGCAATCCTAAAAAAGAATGATGTTATGCTGTGTGTGGCAGGGCACATCTGTAACCCCAGCACTCTGAAGGCTAAGCAGGAGAAGGGCAAATTCAAGTTCTGCCTGGGACACTGAGCGAGGGCCTGTCTCAAATGTTGAAATGTAAAGGGCTAGGGATATAGCTAGGACCAAAAGCATCCTGGGTTCAATCCTTGGTACAAAAAACAAACAAACAAACAATGATAAAGAAGAAGCATAAACAGCTGAAATAGTGGTTTTGAATAGACAGCAATACCTATTTCACTGAAATCATAAAGGAAGTCTTTTTGAGGTGATCAAGACTCACAACACCAAATTCAGTGCTTTTCTTCAGTAGCCCATTACTAGTTTTTTTTGTCAATAATTTTAATATTTAAAAAACTTTATTAATTTCCTTGGTGCCTTGATAAGATATTGCCAAACTCCTTAGCCTAAAATCCGAGACCTACCTTCCAGTCTGGAATCCCCTATCCTACTAGTCATAGTGAGAGACAGTAAGGGCATGCAAGGCTCAAGCCTCAAAACTCTCTCTTTAAAAGTATGGTGCTTTTCTGTTTGATTGTTTTGGTGGTACTGAGGGTTGAACCAAGACAGTGCTGAGCTTTACCTATAGCCCTTTCAATTTTTTTAAATTCTGAGACAGTGCCTTGCCCTGAACTTTCACAGGCAGGTCTGCCAGGTCCAGCTTTACACCTTCTTAACCTTCGAGCGCAGGCTCACCGGGTCCTCTGGAATGCAGCTCCAGGCAGGGTGGGGACTTCTGGTCATTTTATGTGACCTAAACCATTGTCTGGCATATGGTGGATGTTGACAAACATTTGTTCACTAAACAGGTGGATGAATCAATGGCTGTTTGCATTATCCATAAGCTATAACTCTCCAGTTTATACTCCCTGCTTGGATCTACGTCCTGAGCTCCAGATATATCCAATATCAGCTATCTCTGAGATGCGTAGAAAACACCTCAAACTGTAATCAAAGTCCAAAGCCGAATGCCAACCACCCTCCCAGAGGCTTCCATTTCCTAGCAAGGTGCACCTAATTAGTTCAAGTCAACACTTCAGAAATCGCTCCTAGCTCCTCTGCTTTTCTTCACCCACATATCCAACACTGCGGTTCTGCCTTCCTCTGACTGCTCCTCACCGCTCCTGTTCCCACTGTGGTCTAAGCCACTCTCACTTCACCCGGACGCACGCAAGGGCCGTCTTCCCACTTCTCGTCCTCTTCCACTACTCAATTCCGTCTGTTCTCAAACCACAACCAGAACATTTTTTTTCAAACTGAAGTCAGATCACTTCACTTCTCTGTTCACAATCCTGCAATTATTTCTACTTCATTCTGAGTGAAAGCACACATCTTGATAATCGCTTCTAAAGCTCTACTGCGTATGGCTCCATCACAACTGCGACCTCAGGCCTCCCACTTTCCACTCCCCTGCTCCGGGCGCACTGGCTCCCTCTGCTGTTCCTTCCACAGGTCATCAAGCCGGGTTTCCGCTGCAGGGTGTTTTCCCCACTGTTCCTTAGCGGAACGCACTTCACCTCCTTCGGGCCGCATCACGCGTCACCTTCTCTGCGACTTTCCCCTTGATCATCGTACATAAAACTGCAGCCCCATCCCTACACACGTTTTCCTTATCTCTTCCTTCTGCCTTATTTTCCGTCACAGCATTTATCACCACCTAAAATACTAAACATATATCTCACTTCCTGGAACATTTGTTGCTATGTCCCGACATGGAAATCGCTGCCTGACCCGTAGGAGGCGATCAGTAATCGGCCCCTCATCAGGCACGTTCTCTTCCACCAGAGGGTCTAACAACCCTCTTTCCCGGTTTCTCTGGGAAAAAAAATCATAAAGCTGGAGGCTCTAGGATTTCTCCAGTGCTGATACCGAGGTTTATCATACTTTGCCTAGAAAGAAAAAGCTGCGTTTTGTCGCGTGAACCACAAGGGGGAGTGGGGAGGGAGAGTTGAGCAGAGAACCGGCCGACGCCGTTTCCCTTGCTTTTCGAGCAGGAGCCTCAAGAGGGGAAGAAAGCTGGGTTTGGAGCTCACTGCTCTTAATGAATGATTTCCCTTCACACTAAGAACTAGGAGCCACCCAGGGCTGGGAACGCGAAAGCCACAGTCCTTTCCAGGGCCACAAAGGTGCCAAAGGAATCAATCCCAGGCCATTAAGAGCCGGGCTGAGGTTTAATTCCAACACGAGCCGGGGAACGAGCTCCGAAGACTAAGTTGGCGCGCAGGCCGCGGTGCCGCGGTACCCCGCGCTCTCCGACCCGGAGCCGCGAAAGGAGCCACCCAGGGCTGGGAACGCGAAAGCCACAGTCCTTTCCAGGGCCACAAAGGTGCCAAAGGAATCAATCCCAGGCCATTAAGAGCCGGGCTGAGGTTTAATTCCAACACGAGCCGGGGAACGAGCTCCGAAGACTAAGTTGGCGCGCAGGCCGCGGTGCCGCGGTACCCCGCGCTCTCCGACCCGGAGCCGCGAAAACCGCTCTGCCCCACGCTCACCGCCACCTGTTGATGCCCACGTTGGAGGAGCCGGCGAACCAGGGGTCGAGGATGTAGACGCAGCGGATGGTGTCGGCGCCCCGGATGCATTCCTTCAGCGCTGGG